GGTCACTGAGCCAAATTCAAGGATATTTCCCTCCCAACAGTAGTCTCTAACGCCTCTGATAGATGGGGGAAGCATTATAGATACCGCCAAGCCAGTAGAGGCCGAACTCGCTGGCTCGGTCGGAACTGATGGTACGCACCAATATCGGTAGGTTATAGAGACTGGTAGAATATTACAGAGGGAAGCACAATGGACCAATACTGGTCTAAGTGCATGGGAAACCCACCCTCTCCAATAACTAACTAACTAACTAACTACTCTTGGCCTTGTTCGAAGTTACGTGACATTAGCTTTACTAGACGCTATAGAGAAGAGAAAAATGTAGCCACAGAGGAGATTCGAAACCCCGGCCATGCAGCACGTAGCCCGTCGCTATACCAACTGAGCTATCCCGACTCATTTTTATAGATGTGTAAGGCTGTGTATGAAATTTGACGCATGCTGATCATTTAACAAACAAGTTAGAAGTAAGAAAAACATTTGTAATTGTTCTGATGATACTCTCTTCCGTGTACCGTGGTTTATAACAGCTTCAATAAGGCTCCACTGTTGTTATTGTTTATGGTTTGGATGCCTTGACTTCGTAGAATTTTTCTAACTCTATTTACACAGCAGTTACACACAGATGCACCCTTTTGTTTGTAAAATAAATGACGTTTCAGCAGCTCACCATGTGCGCTACGTAAATGACCCCTTTGCGGCTCGAGAAAACACTACCCTAAGTAAACATATGCAGTATATTCAGCCCCTCTGTTACGATGTCAAGTAAATATGTATCTGATCTTTCGTTAGTTATAAATACTATTAATAATTCAATTCCCTTACTTGAGAGCTTGCCAGCAAGTATCCCGTAACAGCCGAGTATTTTAGGTTTAAAAATAAAACTAACAAGAAATTCTGGGAAGAATTAATCGTTTGCTTTCCTTTGATAAGACACGGATCGCATAGAAAACAACGCTTCCAACAATTATTCTATTGTTGTGCGTATATTTGTTTCCGCGGCAACGTTTTAGCTAGCTGTTGCTTGGCAACGGCATTGAGATACACGTGCAGACACAGACTGATGGGATCGATTTATGAATTAAGCCGTCAAGATAGGCTCAGATGTCGTGTTATATATACATATCAAGTGTCATAAATATTTGTTAAAACATTCAGAAGTTAATAAGAGGGGATACACAGACACACAGACAACATGACGATCGCATAAGCCTACGTTTATTTTTTCAAAGTAAGAAAAGTAGGCTAAAAATTAGGCTGAAGATTGAGTCTCGAAACCAAAACAGAATAAATGCCACTTTAATAAGACCGTAAAAGTAAAAGAACTCGTCAGGAGAAGTAGTGTATGTGTTTATTATGAAGTTACTTAATCCGTTCCTCTTGTACCCTAAGTTTTCTCCATTTTAATAATTTAACAAACGGTAGGGCCCCTCGGACAGTTGATCAGTTCGTCGTAAGGCCTCAACCTAAACATATGACAACACAAACACAGAATAAGCACATGCACATACCAAACATCCATACATTGTGTGGGATGCAGGTTTCCGAGCGAGCGAAGACAGTACATGCTTTAGACCACTCGGCTACCGTGACCGGCTTCTTTATTAGAAGCAGGTAAAATCGACAGATGCTGTTGGAAGCTGTGAGTTGCCAAGTATCGAGTCATTTCTGCCATTCAGGATGGGAAAGTCCCTGATTTGCTTAGTGGCTACACGGAGACCTACAGTGTCCGTAACTGAACCAGAGTTTTTCTTGTGCTTGAAAACGTTAACAAGAAATAAAGCACGGAGACCTAATCGTCTGAAATAAGTGTTCTCATGTAAGATGTGAGGCTTTCACGGCGGTGACTATGAAGAAAGCAGTCTTCTGGGATTTGGCACCGTGTATATGTGGTGTTAACCGACGTTTCGGAGGAACGTATCGCCTCCATCTTCAGGGTAGAAGAACACAATATATACACGGTGCCAAATCCCAAAAGACTGCTTTCTTCAAGTGTTATCATATTTAAAGGATTCAAAATTGATTCGTAAATACGAGAGAAACCGGGCTGGTTAAATCGATTGTAACGAACTTGCAAATTTTCCGTGAATGGTTTACAGTTTATTAGAATCTGTCAATGTAAGATTATTCGAGGCGACAGGCGCCTACTCAAGTTTTGACTGAATAAAGGCAGTATGCAAATCTTTCTGTCTATCAGTGGAAGACAAATTATATTCGGTGAGATAAATATACCCTAGGAATATTTGTTGTCAACATGACAAAGACAAGGCATTTTAATCATCTAATATAACAGCAAGATATTTTACATATTAATAATCAATAAAATTATCTTTTTATTGGACATATAACCCTGTCATGTAGCTCTTGGCCTTCTCCATAGTTTCGCAACATGAAAATTGTCTGGATTGGGGTCTTAATCCCTACGCCCAATCCCCATCATTCAGGACCATGGACTACACTTCGTCTGGCCCCTATGCTTTGACCTGCCTAGCATGGGTGGCCTTACCAGCAGCTTACGCTCCCGCCAGCATAACTCTCCGGGTCATTGGAGAGTGCATACCTCCTCTGCATGATAAGGAGGTAGTTCTAATGGAGGAAATAATAATAATAATAATAATAATAATAATGGTAAACGAACAATTAAAATAGCAATAACATCGATTTGAAAATGTAGAAAACGGAGCAAGATTGCACAAGCCCTAAAATTATACCCTGTATCCTGGAGTCCTTGTTCGAATATCGACTGAGACATTGGAAATCGTTACTGAGGGTTTTCCTCGTTTCTCTTTCAATCTCTCAGAATGAATGCAGAGTTAGTGCCTCGAATTAGGCCACTGTCTGTTCATCCACATCATCATCAATTCATCTGTCATCCCACCGTTTGTCTCCGTATAGTCTAGATAGACAGCGTGGTGAAATAAAAATTAAATTGACATATGACGCGGTGTAGTCTGGTAGAAGTTTGCTTACGTTTCGGTGGAACGTGTTGCCTTCGTATTCAGTCTTGGAAAATAACTAAAGCAAGAACAAAACAAACATCGGCTTACTTCTCGTCCCTGAAAAGAGAAGCAGTACGTTCCGCCGAAACGTCCGTGAAACAATACCATAACTGCACGGTGAATCATCCTAGTAAGATGAGTGAAATACACGAATGCTGCACAGAATTTGTTATTCAGGTATTATGAGTGCTATATTTATTGTAAACTCTCTCCTGCTATATCAGTGACTGCATCTGTTGTTTCAGCCTCCCGAATGCTCATAAAGTTCGTAGCATGTCGTTATATGAACTCTGTTTATGCTTAGATGTTCAGTAATCGTCTGTGATGTGACGCACAGTCTAGTATATATTTATAAATCTTTCGAACAAATATAATGCCTCCACCTTCAGGGTAGAAGAGTAGTAGTTGTATAAACTACGTTTTTCAGGGCACGCAACGCCTTCCTCTTCCCTCCACCTATTCTTATTAATTTATCCTGTCTTTACCCCTCCACCTATTGCCGAGGTTAAGAATAATTGAGATAACTTTATCTTTATCTTTGTATTATTTTGCTTTACCCCCTCCCCGCTACTGTGACTTCTGAATCAGGCCTGATAGTGTCCTGTGGTTTCTTCCATACACTGCCCTTGAAATAGGCCCTTCAGGGTCCTGTCTCTTTACTCTCTCTCTCTCTCTCTTGGCCGTTCCATAGCTCAGGCGGTTAGTCGCCGGCTTCCCACAGCGACGGTTCGGGTTCGAGCCCAGGTCAGGTCATGTGGGATTTGTGCTGGACAAAGTGGCACTGGGGCAGGTTTTCTTCGAGTACTGCTGTTTCCCCTGCCAGTTCTCATTCCACCAACTGCTCCACATCATCATCATCCGGGACTGGTACAATAGTAGGACAATTAATGGCCGACGTACCAAGTGGACTCAGTCCCACCCCACCCCAAGAAACAAAGAAAAGGCTCTCTCTTTCTTTCCCATTCACCTTATATTCGTTCAATCCATTGCTTCTGCCAGTTTCTGTGCTTTCGGAAAGTTACCCATAAGACCCCAAATCCTTTCAAATATCTTCTTACCACTATTGGTTCACTCAAGAGTCCGTTCCTGGTACACCCCATGCTTATACAGAATGTCCTAGGAAGAAAGGTCAATGTTCAGGGAGATCACAGTATAGGTCATTCTAAGCAAAAACTGTAAACGTACTTGTGTCATATTCCGAACGGTTTCCGAGATAGAGCAATTTCACTGTACAGTTCCAAAATTGTTGAGAAGGAAGAGATATTACCTACTGTTCTAATACTGGTAATTATTGTTCAAGTGCTGAAGTTTGTACAGTTTACCTACTTTAATATATTTTTCAAAAGTCCACAGTCAACATCAGTGCACTTTGTAACCCGTGTGAGAACATGGCGTGTTGCTTTTCTGCACAGTGTACAGCGTACTGTACAGTGAAATAGCTCTATCTCGGTGAAACTCGTGTGAGGACACGGCGTGTTGCTCGTCTGTACAGTGTACAGTGTACTGTACAGTGAAATAGCTCTATCTCGGAAACCGTTCGGAATAGGACACATGTACATAAATACATTTTTGCTTAGAATGAACTCCCAGAATATTGACCTTTCCTCCTGGGATAGCCTGCTTTTATACCTATTTCTCTGTAATGAACAGGTTAATGTAGTTCTAACGCTCTGGATCTGTATTCTGGATCTGGTCCGTTCGTATCTCGGCTAGGACACTTGATTCCAGAGTCTTTTCGTGATTTTTCTAAGCCCCTGCCGACAAGTTCCGGAATATTATCTCGATCAAACCATGACCGCTTCCTTTGAAATCCTTACCAATTCATTCATCATTTATCACCCTACCACTAACGCTATACAGGCGGCGGCTTACTTACACGAATGGTTAGTAAATATCTACCAGACTACACGGCGTCACATCCAAGACGACAGTAATATTCATAGTCAGCATTGTGAGAACTTCTCACATATATGTATACTAAATGCGTAACTTTATTTGCAGATGATGGACAGATGTACCACCGACAGCGTTATGTGTGCAAGTGGTGCACTAGACGCAACATATTTGTGTTCGTTTTAGCGCCATGAAGAAATGGAATTATATCAATGCCATATACAATATACTCTATAGTGAATATATTGTTATGTGTAACAACACCGAACCACACCATTAAGTTCTGATCAAAGAAGATCTCGCTAAAGTGAGCTGAGATTTCATATTTTTTTGATGTTCTGAACAACTTTGAATATTGTCAAGTTCACACAATACCGACAGCCTAAACAATATAGTAATTTGGAGCTGATAACTTTAAACAGTATGAGAATTAGAAGAATTAACGAAATGTCAGTGAAATATAACATTGAAAATCAAAATTTTCAAAGATAGTTAAAACCTACAAAAATTTGTAAGAAGAAATGTGTATTGCTCAAATAGAATTTCATATCGCCTTAGCCATGTTAGTGGTTAATGAGTGACATAATATTATTTTCAGAAATATTTTCTTAATTAATTTTTATATAGATAATTAAAGAGAAAACATGTTTTAGAGACGTTAGTGTTTACAGACAGAGTGATTGAAATTTGTTGATAATGACAGAGTAAGCCATTATGAATATAACTACAATTCGAAAATAACTTGTTCAAATTCAGAGAAGGCTTTACATTTGAGGCCTCCTCGAAGATATTTTAAGACCCTGGATCCAAGTGTAACAGTCATCTTGTGTCAGATCTCATATAAGATCAGTTGAATATATGCTGCAAAAGTTTCTATGGGACTTCTACTAAGAAGACATGTTCGTCCAGAGAGACCTAAATTAGAGATGTGGATTTCTCCAAGTGAAATTTATTTGACCTGCACCTGAGAGCTTCAGGAATCAGTAACTCCGTTACTGTGACGTACTCGGGAGTTCTGCATTGGTACAAGAGAGCCAACAACTTCAGGTACAGACAGATGATCGTCGGGAGCAGCTGGCTGTATAGATGTTTGAGGCTGATTGTCGTGTTGTGTACAACCACCGTAACCCCTTCTACACCCCTAATTGCACGCTGTTACTAGAGGAAATAGTTCAGTCATGTGTAAGTAGCAATAAAATGCTTTTCTTTTTTTAATTTACTTCCATTTATCTATCATATACTTTCAAACACATTAATTTTTTTTACTCATATACACGACTTTTATTTTAGATATTGTCTTGGGTGTTTTCAAATAAAACGTCTCTGTTTGGAACAGAGTTCCTGTCTACAGATCTAGAGGTCCGGGTTCAATTCTCGACTCTACCAGATTTTCTGAAAAATAGTGGGTCTGGAACGGTGTTCACTCAACTTCGTGAGGCTAATTGAGAAGCTATTTCAAGGAAAAAGCGGCTCCGGTCTAGAACACCGAAATTAACGACCCTGGGGATTCGTTGCGCTGACCACGCGACACCCTCTATCCACTGAAGTTGGCACTAACTTCGTCGACAAGGGAACGGTCGCTCGGTCGGTATAGTTCGCTTGCGGACTAAAACTATGGAGTTTGTTTTTGTTTGTTTTGAGCAAGTCCGCCCAACAGTAACCTCTTCTGGCACAAATTTATAGATGTTAATTTCTAGTCACGTCCGAAACAAAGACCATAAGATTTTTCACGGTTTTCTTCAGTCCCTTCAAATAAATGTTGGCGTAGAACTCAAATGAGGCCACGAGCACCCCATTCTACATCCATTACTGTTCGTTATGTTGTATTTAAGTTTCCTCTTACATCTTTGTTACACATATATTTCCGTCTTAAATGCAACTTGTTATCCTGTCACCCTTCTTCCCCGATGCATACTGCAAGCATCAGGTGTTGTCTGTCTTGCTAACATTGTTGCATGTCAAAACTGTAACTGTATGTCAAAATTATACATCGCGTGTGAGCGCAATATTTTTTTTTCCCTTGGCACTACAGCCCCAGTGGGCCTAGGCCTACCTCCATGAAACTATCCGTTTCACTTCGGTTTTTCTAGAGCTTACACATTCGGTAGGACTCCTTGGGCGGGTGATCAGCTCGTCGCAAGGTGAGCGCAATATTTCCTAATTAAATTAAAGTAAACTTCAATTACAATTAAAATTAATTAACATCTTAGTGCTAATCAAATACGCATTTCGGAGCCCTGGTCTTATCAGTGTACCCCCCCCGGTCTAAGTGATATTAGAGTCAGTTAAGCTGTAAGCAGTCGAGGTAAAAAGTGTACAGAAACTTATACGAGTCTGACAGAACCCAGGGACAATTTTTAGTAATTTATTTTCCTCCACATATCCCTTGAAATTGGGATACGCGGTAGCGTAGTTGGTTGAGGCACTGTGCTACTAGCCGAAAAGTCGCGGGTTCGATTCCCGATGAGATCATTGGATTTTTTAATTTACCAAATCCTTCCAGTCGCATTATGGACCTGGGATCTACTCAGCCTCTAACAGAAATGAGTACCAAGATTCTGCCTGGGTGTAAGTAGTGGCCGGAGCGTAGGGCTAACAATCTCACCGCCATATATGAGCCGATTTTCTAGAAAATATGGAAACCTCGGTGTCTCATAACCGCGTGGGCCTCTATGGCCCGTTATAGGGATGTCTAACCCCTTGAAAATCTTTCGTTTCCACCCGTGGTACGCTTACCACACTTTGGGAAACACTGCAGTAGGCACTGTGACCCATTCATTCGAAGCTGTACAGTTCGAGTTGCCACATGAATATTACATGAACAACAAATAAAAGTTGCTGAAACGGGGTCTGCTCCTGTAATCGCTTGTAAGGAAGGGAATTGTCCTACTCGCTTAAGCACATTAGAGAGAGCTAGTCTCTGAAATGCAGAAACTGAAAGTCCTGAATTCGAGACCAGACCAGTTTATGGTATGGATCTTTGCAATACCTGATGATGGAAGTAGGTCCAGTATCCGAAACGTTCTATTTGAAAAACTCAAAGACTATGACCATGTCCAAAATAAGTATGTTTTATTGTGACGCACTATTGTCAGTAGCATTTAGACTCCAAAATTTTAATATAGACAGGATTTATGTATGCATTAATAAAACAGGCAGAGAAATCCTCCTGGATAATCAAATCCTTATCAGTAGATTCATAAACACACTTTGGGTTCGAGGCTTTCATAGCGGTGACTGTGAATAATACGATATTCTGACTTGTAATTCCGTGTAGTTCTGAGACACTTCAGCGTGTTCAGAGGAACATTATCGTCTCCCTCTTCAAGGTCGAAGTGTAAGCCAAGCAAGTAACCCCCAGAGGCCGTCTGCTTCTCCCATCCCCCTGAAGATGAAGCCTATATGTTCCTCCGAAACGTCGGACTGTCTCCTAATTACACTACGTTACGACAAGGAACGCCGTACTCTTCATAATAAAAAGTGTTTGCAACTCAGAATTGTTACATGATATCTGAGGTTATTCACATGCATGGGGCATGTGTGAATTAACTTGTTAATTTGTGAAACTGTATACGTGCCGTTAGGATACTGTGTTCTGCTTGTTAGCCAGTGTCATGAGATGTAGTTTCATCCGTGAAATATTTGTAAATATGTTAGTGTGTGAGCCGGGATAGCGTAGTCGGTATAGCGACGGATTGGACGACCAAGGTGTCGGAGTTTCAGTCCCGGTAGGGTCAGAATTTTCTCGTCACCACATCGTCCAGACTGGCTCTTAGGTCCACCCAACCTCCTATCCAATGGGTATCGGTAACTCTTTCCCCGGGAATAAAGCGGTAGGGGCGTGAAGCTGACCACTCACTTTCAACTAATGCCGAGGTCAAGAAAATGTGGATCTAAAGAGCTACTCCCCCCATACGCCTTCATGGCGTAGTGCTTAATTAGTTAAGCACAGGAATAACTTTACCTTTAATGGAGCCTGATAATATTATTCCCGTGGCCTCCGCTATATATCTGGCGTGTCAACAACAAATTAACAATTTCTGTGCTCTTGTGTTTATCGAACGAGTTTGCTGTTTACACCATCGACTTTTAAACCCGTTTTCCTGCTGATGATAATAATGTTTCCTAAATTACGTGCATTCAAACACTTCAAAATATAAATATTTGATTATTATAAAAAAGACCTATGTAGGTTTACTATATCTGTTATCAAGTAACTGAACTAGTTCGACTCTGTTCCGGTGACGTGTCACAGCTGCATTATCGCAGCTAATGTAATCCCTACGCGAGGGCGTCTCAGAGCCGTCACTATACGCGAATGGGTTAATTACACTAACCGACTCAAGAACCGAATACTCAATGCCTGCTCTTAGATACAGATCTGCGAACTATTGATCACACGGCAACTGAGAAGTATTATACTGCACTTGGTGTCGCTTCAGTCTCCGTGAAAGCCGCTTAGTGAAAACACTGGCCCGGAAGACAGAGTTCAGAATTTGATTATAATTTCTTTCGGGTGACTGCTTCAGAGAACACTTCTACAATTGGCTTTTATTCGCGTCTGTATTTTCCAACATGGAAATAGAATTCTTTATGAAAGAAATTTCATCATATAAGATGTGACGCTGTGTAATTTGGTAGAAGTTTACTTACGTCTTGCCTACCATCTTCAGGGTTGAAGACATACTGAACAAAACTCAAATGAGCTGTTTGAGAAAGAATTTGTTGGGTATGAACCTGGGTAGGGAGACAGAGAGCGGTGTCGGGTTTATAGGACAGTGACCGGGGGTCTCCTGCCGGTCACACTGGCCGCGCGGTGAAGAATGGCCGGAGTGTAAGGCTGACAAATTCAGCACCATCTGTGAGACAATTGTTTACAAAATATGGGAGCCACGACGTCTCACAAATGTATGGGCCTGCACCACTTGTTACAGGGATAGCTTTACTTTTTTTTTAAGTAATCAGGAACGCTGATCACGTAAATAAACATCGCGTGACACGTAGATTTTCTTCTTATCCTCTGTTTTCTTGTCTGGGTTTTATGGTCAGACATATGAACATCAGCTTACGAATTTTACGCATTTGGGAATAATGACGTTATTTACATGAGAATTAACTTTCAAATCATTAATATAATATCACTCGCTTACACTGTGGCTCATAAAGAATTATAAGAATACGGCTTAATTTTTACGAAAGTTAAAAATCAAAATTCAATATATAAAATTGTGACGAAATGCACAATTGTTTTTAATCTGAAATCAGTATATCAGAATTTATTTTAAAAGCTTTATTTTTCCTTTATACTACCGTAGCAACAGTTGAGAAAGCTTAATCAGTATAGTAACGGACTAACGACCAGACGGCAGGGATTCAATCCCTGTCAAGAACATTTTTCTTCTCTTGCCCATATATTCCAAAAAGGCTTTGAGGTCCAACTCAGACTCCTATACAATGGGCACGGTAGTGATTTCTCCTGGGGTAAAGCAACAGGGGCGTGAAGCCAACCACTCACTTCCATCTAACGCAGAGGTCAAGAATTGTGTTTACCTCCGCCCCTCCATACTTCTCCATGGCGTGGTTCTTAATTAAGCACAGTGACAAATTTACATCTACCTTTTTACTTTTTATTGACCGCCTCTGTAGTCCAGTGGTCAGAGTTCCTGGCTACATATACTCAGGTCCCGGGTTCGATTCCCGGCGCTACCAGATTTTCTGAGTAGTGAGTCTGGAACGGGGTCCACTCAGCCTCGTGAGGATAATTGAGGAGTTATTTCAAGTAAATAGCGGCTCCTGTCTAGAAAACCGAGATTAACGACCGTGGGGATCCGTTGCGCTGATCACGCGACACCCTCTATCCGCAAAAGTTGGCACTAACTTCTTCGACAAGCGGCGATCGCTCGGTCGGTATAGTTCGCTTGCGGACTGCAGGCCACGGAGTTTTTTTTTTTACTTTTTATTACCATAGTAACATAATTTACCTCTGCTGTTAACAACTATTTCGTGGGCTTGAACATGCAAATTTTATTCTTAGGAATATCCTCAAAACACTTTAAACTTTTGAAGTCGCTGGAATTCCAGAAGCAATTTCGAGAGACAAGTGTTGAAATTAAGAAAGAAGCTACCACCATGGAAGTAATTAAGGAGCGTCATGATTTTCTTGTTCGATAATAAAGATGCCG